TCTGGAAGATCAAGAGAGTGTAGGCCAACATACCCCAGGGCAAGGATGTTTCCATAAGGCAGGAGCAACCACAGAGTAAGAGCCTCTTCTTAGACTTCACCAAGAAACTACTCTGTTTCCCTGAAAGTAAGACCTCCCCAGATAATAACCCCAACCGTGCTTTTGAGCGAATGCGCTAAAATAAGCCCTCCCCTGAAAATATTGCAGCACAGCAGCAGCAGCCATGAAGTGACCATGCTTGCCGCCTCCTGTACCTCAAATAATAGGCCAAGTGCTTATTTCAGGGCTCAAAACAAAATAAGACCCTGTCTTATTTTCAGGAAAACACAGCAAGTTCTTTAACCGGTGGGGTCAGATATTGGTCCTGCCATTGACTGTTGGGTTACTCAGCAGAATTTGCATAATATTGCTTAATATTGTTCTTATTGTCATAGAAGGAAGCCTGTCACCGTATATAAAACGATGAAGGAATAGGTGTCCAAATTGGTGGCCATGGATTTTTCAGTGATGAACCAAATAAATTGTCCTTCCTCCTACCTGTAGAATCTCAGCAGGATGTAAAAAGAGATTTTGGTAGTTTGCTTGCTGAAATTGCCTTGCTTATCTTTTTGGCTTCTGGGCTATCTGTGTTCAAATTTAAAGTATTTGGGAATCACCAGTAGCTTCTTTTTACGCTTTTTGAGTAAAATAGACTTAAAGGTAAAAGTGCCCTTCACACATGTGCTAGTCATTTCACGACTCTAGGGGGCGATGCTCATCTCCGTTTCAAAGCCAAAGAACCAGCACTGTCGGAAGACGTGTCCATGGTCATTTGGCTGGCATGACTAAATGCTGAAGGTGCACGGAACACTGTTACCTTCCCACCAAAGGTGGTCCCTGTTTTTCTACTTGTATTTTTTACATGCTTTCGAACTGCTAGGTTGACAGAAGTTGGGACAAGTAACAGCACCTCACTCCGTTAACGCGGTGCTAGGGATTTGAACCGCCAAAGTGCTGATGTTTCTGATCGACAAGCTCAGCCTCTTAGCCACTGAGCCACTGCGTCCCTATAAAATAGACTTTACGGAAGCATTAACATGGATACTATTAGAGCCTCCAATGTGCAAGCCAACCAATCTCGACTAATAAAGCTTTCATTTTTTGTGCTTGGAATGAATCCCATTCATGCAATTTTAAATAAAATGTGTACTTTGGTTCCTTTGTGGCATCCCAGATGTTAAAATACATGAGGGTCAAGAAGGGTCAGGGTGAGAGATTCGAAGCTATTAAAAGGCTCTACACAAAAGCTCTTTTCTTTGAAGACTTTGGCTTTTCAGGTTTGCCACATGCATCATCTGTCAGGGTCTCATTCTCTCCAGATTATTTTAAGGCTTGGATTTCTACTAAGTCTTTCTAAGAAATGATGGGTTATGGTGTATCATTCTGCCATCTTGAATAGAGTATTGTGTTTGTATTTGTATTTCTATTTATTATACTTGTATGCCGCTGTATTCCCCGGGGGGACTCAGGGCGGCGAACAAACACATGGGGAAGGGGGCAATACAAAAACAAACGAGACAAACGGGATA